TATACAATATTTTCACTTCTTGGGTCGATTGCTATCAATGTCAGTCGCGGGTATTTATGTTCGTGCATCAAGTTAATCATTGGCGGCCAATAAACATTTCTCAACGTTTACAACTCAATTGGAATTTATCAGGACCTCACTCCACACATTAGTCCCAATTTACCTTTATGTATATTGTATCATAGGCAAGATTCTATTGAAATATTTTCAATTTTATTACATTTTAATTAATGACATCAAATGATATATACGTTTAGTCTTATCTTCTTTCTGAGTCTCATGATTGATCGAAAAACTTGTTTTTAAAATTTTTCCAACCACCCCATTTATTGACTCCCTTCCGTTTAATGAGATTTTTCTCATTTATTCTACAAATCCCCGTTTATTCTAACTTCTGATTTTTCCACCACCACCGCTATTTAGTACGATTAACCCTCGAGGAATCGGAGATTCGAGTTCGAATTCCAGTGAAATCCATTACATTCACTTACGTGCTAATACCCTTGCGAAAGGTACGAATCCTCTTCTTTTTCCCCCAGCTATGGGTAAATAGGACAGACCGGGTTCTGTAGCCTTGGATGGCAACTGTTCTACCGCAGAAAGAAATCTGCCTCCTCAGTCAGTGATGTATCGAAAGATACATGATTGCCTAAATGTGTATCACGCATGACACATAACTGACTGACGTGCAAATACCCTTGGGAAAGGTATGAATCCTCTTCTGCCTCCCCACCCCAGCTATGAGTAAATAGCAGGATAAACCGTGTTCTATAGCCTTGGATTGTAACTAGTCTACTGCAGAAAAAATGGTAACCTACTGCGGAAAAAAATCTACCTAGTCAGTCATGTATCGAAAGATGCATGATCGTATAAGCGTGTCTCACACATGGCACATAACTGACTGACCCATGCTTTTATTTGTCATCCGCGTTAAACACTTGATAGCCTACATTCTTTGACAGAAATATTTTCCTAGACAGCTTTTTAGTAAATGTTTTTGTCTGTCTTAATGCGATACCCAGTGTAGATCGAACTCAAATACGACCCAATCGGTGTGTCTGCGAGACGAACCGGTTAAACGTTATTCTATTGTACTTGCCGAAATTTCTGAATATGAGTGACAGTAAACAAAATCAAAATCAGATAAAAAGAAGAAAAAGTTCAAGAAAAAGAAGCGCGCGAAAGTGAAAGTGAAAGTGAAACTAAATCCAAAATGAAATAAAACGTCTCCATGTACGACAAATCTCAGTACATTAACTTTCTGCTTGTTTCTGACGTCAGCAGCTATGCAAAATGAGAACAAAAATCAATGTGGCTTTACGACGTCTTACAGTTCTTGTAAAGGTCCGACCGAAGAAAATGGCGCCTGTCAGTGTCTCGCAAGCTGTAAGCGAAGGAGAGGAAGTACGGAAGGCAATACGAATAAAATGCAATTTATTTCGATGCTACAGAGAAATAAACGAGTTGGCATATAGACAACAAACTACGTTCGTTTCGTGCGAAAGAAAAAAAAACATCAAAAGGTATAATTATTCTTTATTCATTTGTTTTTAAATCTTTTTTTTTTATCTGAGCTACATTCAATCCAAAAATTAGTTAATCGTATTTCTTGGAAATAATGAATAACAGTACGTAAGAAAAGAGAAGCAATAAATCGCTTCTTTACTGCGCAGCGGCAAATCCTTTGTTCCGAACCTTTTCTTTGAGAGAGTCGAAAATCAATAACAAGTAATCGATTTTGTAGTGGAAAGATATGTCCGTTTTAATCGGCGTTACTATTTATTCCAGTCACAGAGGCAACCACCTTGAAAACATGAAAGTAATACTTGCATTAATTCGTAACCATAAAATTCCCTTATTTTCGGATTTTTAATATATTTTTTTATTACATGAATTATTAGAAATAATATTGTGTTATGCATAAAATTTTTTTTGTCCGTTGCGCTCGCATTAATTCCTAATCATCGGCAATATCTTTCTTTATGATTTTCTAAAGTAAAATCCTTTTAGTAAAATAATAGCAATGCATTTACATTATAAAAACGAATACGTGCTGAAAAGTTTCAGATCCTTACATAATCTGACCAAATTATCAAACACCGTTAGGCTGTGTTCGTTGATCTATACGCTCCCGTAATAACTATATTCCGTCAGTGACGCATGTGTTAATTAATGTTTTTCAATGAATTTTTATTGTAAAATAATTAGCAATGAATTTACATTATATACATTATAACCAGTTTCTGTTTGTGAGGCTTGCATTAATTGCCGACTACCGATACACATTTACGTTCTAACTTTTAGCGTATTTTTCTTTTTTGAAAAAAAATACATCAGCAACATTATATATTACAGTGTTCAAAAAGTAATTACTATGAATCAACCAACCAAGGTTGAATGGTAGAAAACTGCATCTGGAATTAGTTTATTATCTCTACCATTGGGGTGTTTTGAAAGTAATTTGCGTATATCATCGCTAGGAATCATGAGTCAACCAACCAAGGTACCATCGAGGTCGAATAGTAGGAAAATGCGTCTCAGATTAGTTTATAATCTCTTCTTTTAATGAATTTGTCTGGAAAGTGTCTTAATCGCTAGTTCAGACACGGTAAATTCGCATCCAGGCTCATACCATATACCACCATTATTGGCAGCTTTTCTGTTATAATGTAGGATAGTCAGGGAGAAAAAGAATATAGATGAATTTGGATAGATTGAAAAAATATTCTTTCAAAAAAATATCTTATTTAAAAAAAAATGTTGAAACTACCAGCGTTTCTCGTTTCGTGCACACGTGTAGAAGTTGCAACATCAACAAAACCCAGTCCGATTAAATGCTAAGTGATGAAACGAATCACAAAAACTATAATTTCTCATAGATACACACACACCTATATATATATATATATATATATATATATATATATATATATATATATATATATATATATGTGTGTGTTTTGTGTATTGGGGCAGCAGATCATTATTTAAACATATATTTTTAAATATAACAGACAATGAATGTCTATTATGTCTGATCAATGAGTCGTTTATAGAGTATCTCGGAAGCCTGCAAAGAAGGAATATAATTTCCACATGAGCATTTGTCTTAGAACTGAATGCAACTTTCTACCATTTACAACAATCTTTTAACCAAAAATGCCGACATTTCATTTTTGTATCACGATGTTACAAGTGATGAAAAATGAGTTTTGCATGTCAGCAGAAATAAAAAAAAAACAAATAAGAAACAAGTGACAAAACTGAAACCAGAGCTCCTTTCGCAAAAGTCTTTGCCTTGTGTCTAGTGAAATATGATATGCGTACGTTTTATTGGCATTAATACCCTTGAGAAAGTTAGGAAGCCATTTTTAAGCTCCGTTCTATTTCTATACAGGCTGATAAAATGTCTCGTCACTGATATATCAAGATGGCTGACGGATAAAAGTGAGAAAGCAAAAATCTGTTACGCTCATTGTCATCTATGAGAGAATCCAGTCTTAAAAACCAATGTATAGATTAAACTGGGGTCGCACTTTGAGAAGCTCTCAGTCCGGTCAGCTATTCAATATACGTATTCGGGTTATTGAAATGTTGATCTTAAGAATTAGGTCGGTTCGACAACTTTTCAGCATTCCTTGTACCATGCAAAACCCTCCTGAGCGATCGTGTGTGAACAGATGTTGAAATCATCTTTCTATTTCTTTCTTTCTTATTTTATATATATATATATATATATATATATATATATATATATATATATATATATATATATATATATATTCGTGATGGGGTTTCTAATAATATATTTAGACGCGCTACACGAGACGCGTTCTGATTATAAATGACGGTATATATAAATACTTATTCCCGCCAAAAAGCCCATATTTTCCCGCTTCCTTTACCTTTGCAAATGCAAAATTCTCTTCAGCTGCTAACGCTTTGATGTCTACCTTCACCGTCCATTATATTATTTTGAATTCACGCCTCGTCTGATGATGTGTGTTTGATCTTCGACTTCTCCCGGGGATCTGGTGAGCATCCTGTCTCAATGTTTTCATTCGTTGTTTAACTGCGGCTTTCTTTCCAAGACTAAAGCAAATTACTAAGGAATTTGTAAATCTTTTGTGTCTTTTATTTGCCTGCCTCTAATTTTACATTTTTTAATTTTCTTTGTTCATCGTTCTCTTTTTTGACACTGTTTCCTGGTACTTTTTTCTCTTCCTCCATTTCTAGTTTTCCTTACACATTCATTCACACAGTAATTCTTTTTTTTCTTCTTCTGTTCATTAAGAATAGGTTTTCTCTTCTACAGTTTAGCCGTCTATTAAGACGATGTTACCTCTATTCATTGAATTATTTTTCACTGTTTCATCTTACACCTATTCTTGGCATTAACAATATATTTCTTCTGTTTTCTTCTTCTTCTTCCTCTTCTTCTTTAGATGCTGCTTAGGTATTTTCTGATTTTCAGGAATGGTTAGCCTTGCAAAGCAGCCAGTCTAAGTGAAGGAGAAATTCGTACTTAAGGCAAAGAGAAACTGTCGCTATATTCTTCTGAAAACAATCATGGCTCCGTAGAGTTTAGAGACGTGTCTAAACGTGATACTTAAAAAAACAACTGTCATGACACCCACCAACACATGAAGATGTAACACACGAAAACTGCCAAATAAAATACATACACATATACACAAGACAAAAATCAAACACAATTTACATTATTCGAATTATTGTCCTCATCTTTGTCGTTATATTTATTACAACGTTTCGTCCGTTGTACGCTCCGGCCTTCTTCAGGACACATGACACAGCGGATAAAGGTGTTGACAGAATCCAAAGAGTTGGGAGTTCAATACCCGGTTAACGCAGTGGAGAACTTGGAGAGGGGAATTAACAGGAGATAACTGACAACTGATATCCATTAAACATGGCACGTGGAACTAGAACAGTCTACCCTAGTGAGCGAAATAAAGGGTTCAGTTCGACATTCCAACCACCTAAAGAAGTCCGGATAGATAGATAGATAGATAGATAGATAGATAGATAGATAGATAGATTGATAGATAGATAGATAGATAGATAGATAGATAGATAGATAGATGAACAGGTTTATATACATTGAATGATAGATAAATAGAAGGCTATCAACATACTGAGATAGATAGATAGATAGATAGATAGATAGATAGATAGATAGATAGATAGATAGATAGATAGATAGATAAACAGGTTTATATACATTGAATGATAAATAAATTGGTGTCTATGAACATAGATAGATAGATAGATAGATAGATAGATAGACGCTACATTTTTTTAGTATGCGTGTATTATTGGTTATTTCACTACAGATATATATTCTTGGTAATTCGTAAATTTGGGTTTCAAAGAACAATTATCACGAAATTATATATATATGAAAGTTTCACTGAAGCTACGTTATGTCGGTAGGAATGTGACCGAAGCCGATTATTTTAGCGATTGAAATCGAGTTCTCTGTTGAATCAATTCAGACATCATACTGCATCCCATGTATTCTTGCGAATATCTATGTATAAGTATCTTGATAACCCCGATTTATTATAAATTAAATTCGCTTATTGGCGTCGAGTAATGCTTCAGTTTTTTTTCTACCATCAGAATATTCCATTAGTAAGAAAAACATATTTAGCTGCGCGAATAATAAATATATAGGGTCACCTTCTTTTTTATATTGTGTAATGAAGATAATTTTACTCAGAGGGTAGATTAATTGATTTTGACTTGTCTGTTTAGCGACATATCAACTCTTTATGGATCCTTTAATGCCGAAATTTAATCTCTTGGGAGCTTAGAAGTAATAAAAATGTTATTTTGCTTTCACAATTGAATCCATGGTAGATGATACTCAGGTTTTGGGCATGTGCATGTTTGTGGGGGGGGCATGATTACTAGAGGGGGTGATATGTGTATTTTATGATGTCGTTTATTGAAGTTATATCTAGGAATATAGTTTGATCTAAGAAATTGTAGGATATTATATGGATTAATGTCATAAAAGAATCCCTTCATTAATGTATTGTTGGTCATTTTACTATAAATAGGTATTGTTGGTAATTTTATTATATATAAAAATATATTGCTGGTATGTTTACTATAGAAATATATTTTTATATTTCTGTAGGGTTAATATCTGGTCGTTTATTTCGATGCTCATTATTTGTCCATAGATGGGACCCTAACAGGTACTACCACCCTGGGTCAGGGTGGACCTGGGAACAACAGCAATGAAGAGGTGTTTCCATGCTCCTCAAAACCTCCAATCTTTTGATCAGAAGCATTGCTGCTGGATGTAGTTTGTAGTCATACCCAGGCCTATGTTATATGATTAATTAAGGAGCAAGCGTAAATAAAACTACTGACCATCCTACCATAAATAAGCAATTATTGATACGATTTATTATTCTTATTTCTTTTGGATCTTAATTTTCCCCGAAAACAAAGACTGAAAGATCAGACTGACCGCAGACAATGTGAATGTTAAAGATTTAACCCGAATAGAGATCTAGGCATCAAGTATTGATTTCCGAATCAGGTTACACAAGAGTCGATGTTTTCATCAATGCAGCCTCGACCTGTTCCCTCAATTGATTTTTTTTTCTGTTAGATCCGACATAACCTAATTTCAAAGCAGTCAGTCCATTTTACGAAAACCTGGAAGCAAAGTGAGATAAATGAATATACCGTAAATCAAGGAATAAATTTTTTGTTCTGACCTGAAATTTAAGACTTTCTTTTCTTTTACCCCCCGGAATTCAGTTGATAATCTTAGAATTTCATTCCTTTTTCGGTCACATAGAAAATTACTTCACCTTAAACAAATAATCGGGAACTTCATTATTCCGAAACAAAGAACACAGGAAATAAATCAACCAGCATCAAATAAAATTAATTAAGAAGCTAAAAGCAGGATCATATTTACCAACTTTCAGAGTAAATACATGATATACTAATTCTGTTTTATAGTTGTCCCATTTTCGTGTTTTCATTTGCTTATTGGCAACACATCAATGATTATGTTTATATATAGGATGTAATGGTTAAAATATCACCATTTTTTTATATTTAATTTCGCGCATGCGCGTTGTTTGTTTTTGATTTAGTCACGTGCACAGTATAGTAGGGTCGGTGGGCACCGTCTGTGAGAAAAAGAGCACCATGACGCAATTCACTCTGCCAGAAATTTGGAAATGGCATGTTATACTGCCTGGCAATCTCAACGGAAGCTCCAATACAATCATTTCAGAGTGTTTGATGTCAATCTGAGAACAGTGCATAGGATTCGGAAAGAGTTGGATGAGTCTAATGCTGATTACGAAGGTGTTTGGAGTAATCACTGGTGATGGCGATGTTATGCCTCTGTTCATCTTCCAACAAGCAACAGGACTTCACACTCAACAAGGAGGTCTACATCAAGTGCCTTGATGAGGAAGTCCTGTCCTGGGAAAGGATGGCGGCTGCTGGAAGACATTATGTCTGGGAACAGTACTTTGCACCATGCCACATAAGCTGTTAGACAATTTCTGCGACCACATCACCCCTTACATCTGGCCACCTAACTCCCCAGATTGCAACCTTCTTTATTATGTGTGGGATGCAGTTGAGTCAAAGACCAACAAAACTCTTTGTAACACCAAAGATGAACTGAAGGTAAGAATCATGGCAGCATTCATCAACTTAAACAAGGAGACCGTCCAGAAGAGTTGCAGGAGATTCCGAAGTCGTCTGGATGCCGAGGTTGAAGCCAGTGGCGATTTTATTGAATAAATTTACTTTTTTAGTATTTCAAGATATTTTTGTGTAATTTTGGTAAATATATCTGTTAAAATGAGATGTCAGTATTATTTTGCTTTTTGCGTCATTTAGACGACAATTTATTCATCGCACTCTATATTCTTGCAGGTTAGGCTGTGCTGGGAATAGTTTCGTCCAACGCTGAGAACCAAAAAATTCAGCTATAAACTCGGGACATGTTTTTAAACAGCCTAGGCTTTTATATGGATGTCATGCAAGACACCATATTCTTTCAGAAATATCTAAACTATACGACAGCTTCTTTAGATCAGTGGTTACAAAATACAACTTGTAGGTTTTAGCGAGCCTCGTGCTTCCACGAACTGCGGGGATAGATGCGATAAAATTATAAACAAAGGAGCGTACCAGATGACAGAAGCTGTATCACTTGAGGATTTTCAACAACAGAAACACCTGAAATGGATATCCCATCGAAAAGAAAATAAGGACATAATCAAAATATTGAATTTCAACACTGCTTCTAACAAAAGGTTAGAAAGGAAACCTCCGTCAGTACTAGAAAGGGCAGTAACAGTTGCAGGAATTAAGAAGATTATTTCCCTTTTACACTATGTACATTATTCGGACCATTGTCCTCATCTTTGTTGCAACATTTATCACCGGCCTTCTTCAGGTGGTTGGAATGTCGAACTGAACCCTTTATTTCGCTTGCTGGGGTAGACTGTTCTAGTTCCACGTGCCATCTCTAATGAATGTCGGTTATCAGTTATCTTCTGTTAATTCACCTTACCACCGGTTAATTCAAACAGTGGATAAAGACCTTAGTCAGTGACAGGACCCAAAGAGTTGTGAGTTCAATACCTGGTTAAGGCAGTGGAGAACTTGGAGAGGGGAATTAACATGGCAACTGACATGCATTAGCTATGGCACGTGGAACTAGGACAGTCTAACCCAGCGAGCGAAATAAAGGGTTCAGTTCGACATTCCAACCACCCTTGAAGAAGGCCGGAACGTACAACGGCCGAAACGTTGTGATAAATACGGCGACAAAGATGAGGACAATAGTCCGAATAATGTAAATAGTGTACATAATACCTCGTCTCCGAAGTACAGACAAATACAGATGTGACACCATTTAACAGGACAAAAAAGAAAAGAAAGGAAAAAGAGAAAAGAAAGAAAGGAAAAGAGAGGCGAGACTTAAGCGTAGATGATAAAAGAAACCACCCACGACCGGGGATATTGACAATGTTATTTGATAAGTAGCAAATGGCGAAAAGGTGTCATTACCATTGCAGAAAAATTCTAAGTGGATAAGAAGATCGACTATGTTCTGGTAGCGAACTGGTGTTATCGGGGATAGATAACAGCCACTTAACACTGGCTAGCAGAAAACTCGGAGACCTTCCTTGACAATGTTAATTGGATAATGGAAAAAATAGTAAAAATTCGGCCGCCGGTGTCGTAGAGTTGTCTGACAGAAAGCAGGTGAATATAAAGTTTTGAATAGATAAGAAACATTTAGCTGTGTCACGGACTGCTGACCACCCGCAAACTAAGGAAACAAAAGGAAATATGTTAAGTCTGGGTTTTGTTAGAATTCGGGTTGTGATAACAAAACTATGTTATCAGAAATTGGCACCAAGAATGACTAGAACAATGGAACTGTTTTTTCGAGACGACGGTCGACTGTGTTTTCGCTGGACGACTGCCTCACTTGATAATTGGCATTGAGGGATCCCAGGTGACATTGGGGGATGAGTGCTGCGATTAAGGAAAGAAAAGGAAAAGAAAAAGATAATTTTTTTTTTTTTTGAGCAAGATATATTTTTTCTTCCTAAAACAAAGCCAGCTCGATCCCACACGCCCGGCTGGACACCATTGGCGGAGTGGTGGCGAGGGCCGGGCGGAGGTGATCATGTGACGCAAGGAGGGAAGCCGCCGCCGCCCATTTAGAGGATAGGTATGAGAAGTTGCTACGAAGAAGTGGGGAGAACCGTTGACGCCCCTCTGAAGTATGGTGAGGTGGGAGTACGAGAAGACTTCCAAAAACGGAAAGAAGTGGAAAATTCCTAATCAAAAATAAAAGAAGTGGATATGTATTTAGAATTATCGAGGAACCTCCAGCCCCAACCAACCCACCCCGGTTTTGGTCGGCGTCCATATAAGCAAGGTCGCAGCGAGCGAAAATCAGAGTTCGGCAAAGTTTCGAGTAGAGTTTCCCGGAGAGTTTCCCGGAGAGTTCGGCAGAGTTTCGAGTAGAGTTTCCCGGAGAGTTTCCCGAAGAGTTTCCCGGAGAGTTCAGCAGAGAAGAGTGTTCAGTTGAAGCAGGCCTCGTAGCTGACTAAGATTCGCGCAACTTCCGAACTCATCTTCAATCCAAGAACAATTATTTTGAAGAGCGACTTAGATCCATACCACCAAAATAAGTTTTTCGACTTTCGCCTGAAGACACACCAAGAACCAATTCCTTAAAGAACAGACAACTTAAGATGTTGGAACTCGCCTAGCAAAGAACAACGTGTCACAGTCCATATAGCGGGTCGGGAGATAGAAGCATTACTATGTATTCAGCAACCAGATATAAAGTATTGCTATCCTTTTTTCTTTGATACCTTGAAATTTTGAGTTATCATTTTATTTTCTTTTATGCATATTTGTGCGATATCACCCTCGTTTGAATTCAATTTGCATTACGGCCCCAACTACTGATTGATTTCGTCTGCCTAAGATCAATTCACAACGTGGGTAGGCGGAATGGAGATCAACGCAGTTACTTTGGTAACCAGACGTTGGAAGCGAGTTGGGAACGACGAGGCTGGTATCGAATCTAACCAGATTCCCATCCGAATCACCAAAAGTTTAGAATGTCACATTTGGGTGCTGCGACCGATACCAAGCCAGTTGGTCGTCACAGGACGGGACAACACGACTGACGCAAACAGGCGGACGTCACGTTTGGAGCGGCGACACCCGAACGGAGCAGCGAGGAGCGAGCGAAGGCTGTGTTTAGGGACGTCACACAGAAAGATTTTATAAATTTCAAACGGAAGTAGCACTGGCTCCTCGGTCAATAAATTCCGTATATTTCCTTATAAGGAAACGGCTAATATCGCCATTACTGTTATTGCCTAATAGAAGAATGTTTCTTTAACTAATCCGAGGTATCTTAAAGAGAATAGCTCAATCATTTTCAAAATTATATTTATTGTTTAGAACTTTTGACATTGAAATTCTTGGAATAATTTCTGGGTTTCACTGAACTGATGTGTTTTACCTGTATTAATGCCACAAATTCCTCTTTCTTGAAACGCATAGAATTTGACTCATTTGACGAGTAATAGAGGAAGTTTTATGTGTTCATGTTATACTGCCACCAGGAAATGAGTAAAAGGAATCTGGAGCTGTGTATTAGCATCAAGCTTTTTGCGATAATTTGTAAGTGTAGGTGAAATCTTAGCCCACTTATCCCTCAAATTATCGCCGCATTAGTCTCTTACTTTTTTTCAGTGCTCGAGGACCTAATGTATACGGAAGGGGTTAAGCATCTTTCGCGCGACCTCCTTTCCGACAAACAATATGGCTTCCGTTTCGGTAGGTCTTCCGCCGATATGTTAACGGCCATCACTGAATTTTCTATGAAGCTTTAAATAAGAATGGTGAAGCTCGGCTCTAGATATTTCGAAACATTCGACAGGTTTTGGCATGCTAGTCTTCTACTCAAGCTCAAGGGCTATGGTTTCACGGGACTAATACTTGACTTAATTCAATCGTTCGTAACAAATCATATAATGAAGGTCGTATTGAATGGTCATGCTTCCAGATCATTTCATCCAAACACAGGAGTTCCCAAGGGCTCTATCTATCCTTGGACTTACACTGTTTCTGATCTTCATAAATGATCTTCCTGATGTCATCAGTGCACAAATAGGTATTTATGCAGATGACACAGCCATTTAATGATATCTTAGTTGCAAATCCGACAGGCCTGATTAAGTAAATCTGGCAATTGTTCTTCGTAAAAAAAGTTTTCTTAGCCTCATATTTTGCACTGACATGAAGTGGAGTGACTATATTGCATCAATTGCTACATCTACTGCAAGGAAAGTTGGTTCATCGTGTCGTCTAGAAAATTTTTCTCATCAGAAACCATCTTACATGTGTATAAATCTACCATCCATCTGTGCATTGAATACTTAACTGGTCTACTTCTGCTATACATCTCAAGATACTTCACAAAATTAAAAGAAGGATCTGTAATGTAATCAATTCTGACCAGGCATATCGATTTCAGTCACTTTCTCACCGACATGACGTGGCTTCCCTCTGACTTTTATACAAATATTTTCATGAAGAATTTCTGATGGGCTTTTTTAAATTTAAGCGTGTTACAAGACTGGCAGTTAGGTCTCAACGTTTTACTATTGAACTAGCGAGATGCAACCACCTCTTCTATTCGAACAGTTTCTTTTCTCGCACTTCTCACCTGTTTGGTTTGTTTTATTTTACGGCATATCAACCTCAATAAGTTATTTAATACCGACAAGATTTTTATTGCTGGTAATATTTTTTTCAAAATTGTATTGTTGGTAATATTTTTTTTTTCAAAAATGCATTGCTGATAAAAAATTTTTCAAAACGTATTGCTAGTATTAAAACCTATTTTTATACTTCCATACTGTTTTGACGCCTTTTTGAGTGGGGAGGGGACTATTTGCCCATAGCTGGGATCCTAGCAGTGTCATGGGGGCCTGGGAACACCAGCAAATAAGAGGCGGTTCCACGCTCTTCAAAACCTTCTGATCAAAAGACTTGCTGTGGTATATGGTTTATCGTATTACCCTGGACACGAATGTAGTTTATCGTCATACACAGGACGGTTTCTCAATTGTGGAAGTGATGATTTCTTGCTTCACTGAAAAGTACGATATTCAGAAATTTAAATGTAATGTCAATCGCCATTTTCTGTCTTCTTGAACCCAGTTCCTTTATTACCTATATTCAATCCCCTGCACTTAGAAATTAAAAAATATCTAATGGTGGGTATGCTAAGAAGATATCGTGTGGTTTTGAGCCGTACTGGTCTTTCAAGTTAGGTTTCGAAATGTGTACGGCCAGACAAGATGCTGACAGTCCAAATCACAGAGAACAGATACGAAATAGGGAAGGATACGAACCTTGCTACTCAGATCGAAGATTAAATGACCGGCTGACAGCGGAAGAATTTAATATTGATAGAGAAACAGCACGACAGATTTTAAAACATGATTTGGAAATAATAATAATAATATTAGTAATAATAATAATAAATATTCCTCAAAGATGGTTCCTTGAACCTTCACTGAGGAGCAAACGTGGCGTCGGCTTCACAATTCTGAATAATGCAGAGATATTTCAAATGTTCATTATCGGTTGTGAAATGTAGTGTTTTCAAGACATACCCGGAAAACAAAATGCCGACATGCAGTGACAAACAAAGAATTCACATCGGCCGAATAAAGCACGCATGTCTCACCTGAAGTTCAACATCAGCGATTTTTGCCTATTCAAAAATCTCCTGAAATGGCAAAGATTTGCTGACATCCCTGACACCGAAACTATCAGTCAATTAATCGCTTGGGCGATCATGTATCTTTCGATACATGACTGACGAGGCAGATTTTTTTTTCCCGCTGTCGGTTGCCATTTCTTTCTGGTTGCCAGCCAGAGCTAATGAACTCAATCTATTCTGATATTCAACCTATAGCTGGTGTGAGGAGAAGAGATGGATTCATACCTTTCTGAAGGGTTTTTGTGCGCAAGTGAATCTAATGAACTTGACTGGAATTCGAACACGGCTCTCCGAGTTTTCACTTCGATAGCCATTACACCACAACGCACATCCAGCAATACGTTATTATATTATTGAAAATGATACCGGAAAAGTAGTTTCATGAATGTTTGAAAATGCATAGCTTCACAAGAGGTGAAGATGACAACAGCCAATAATAACCAGGTAAGCTAATTCCTGAAATGATCGTTGGTAAACGTTATTTTTATTTTGTTATTGTTTTTCAAACGTTCTGGAAAACGACTAATATTAACATTACTAATATTACATGAATGTAATTTATCCCGTCGCCTCTTGGCACACTGAAAAAGTGTTGTTACGCGAGATCATTTAGTTTGAAGAACTTTGATCTACACTTTTATTAGACGTATTTATTCACCTTTCCACATTAATAATACATGTCATAAAGTTGTTATATTGATGTAGAGAAATCGTAATAAGCCGTTTGGTTAAAACAGACATTTCAGAAAAGAAAATTTCTTTAGTCTTTTATTGCAGACAGATATCAAGACAAATCCCTGAAAGCACACGTTTTCAGATAACAGTAGACAGGTTGTTTTGCAGAGAGCCAGTCACCTAAAAATATTTCCTAACTTCAGCATAGTCTTGCAGACGACTGCAATTGTTACATTATTTATTGTATGCTCCCTTGCATTATTTCATTATTTATTGTATGCTCCCTTACATTATTTCATTATTTATTGTATGCTCCCTTACATTATTTCATTATTTATTGTATGCTCCCTTGCATCATAGTTTACTATATGCACCCTACTCAACGTTATGAAACTTGATTCTCGCCCCATTTATGTATCTTTTCTCTCTCCCTTGCTCTCCCTACCATTTCTCTCTCTCCCTCCTCTCCCTCTCCCCCCTCTCTCTCTCTCTCTCTCTCTCTCTTATTCTTCTTTTCCTTCGATCGCAGGCAAGATTTCTCTCTCTTCATATTTGTGTTTATCCTGTTCTTTCAATGACTTTAACATCGTGAAATTCGAAACGAGAGTTGAACTATCAACAAGAGCGAACATCACTGACTTGTCTCTTACTCCTAGAGTTTCTCTTTGTGCAATGAGAAGTTACTCTTTAGGGTACAATTAACCCTGTTACCATGAAATAAATACACAGGACAAATTTCGTCAGTTGCAGTTGTATAGTACGAGGCTCGGCTGGCAAGTTCATAAGCAAACCAAGATATAAATGTAAGGCAATACACCAGTTGGTCGACTAAAAGACATGCAAGTATACTAGAATGCAACAGCTAGTCGGACAGCTATTGTATTCTAGTACACTAACATGCCTTGTAGTTTACCAACTGATGTGTCCCCGTTACATTTATATCTTGGTCGGCCTATGTACTTTCCAGCCGATCCTCGTAGGTAGCGTGGTGAATAACAGTTGTTAATTAACATCAAATGCAGTCATCTAAATACGAGATATTTTTTTAAACATTTCACCCCAAGCAAGGCGGGAAGCCACTAGCACGCAAGGGGTTACAGAGAGTTGGAGTTAGAGCAAATAGAAACGATAGAGGAAAGGATGAAGAGAAGCTTAGGGGATAGATCAAATCATCTGGAGACGTCAATTGACATTATATTTGAATAGTTGGAGATCACAGGCATCAGTGAAAAGGGGAGGGAGCCCCACAGGCGAGAAGCGCGAGACATGAAGCCACTGGAGCAGAAGAGACGGCCACATTCAACAGCTTCGAGAGAACCCTGCAGATGAGGTGCCAGACCAGAGCCAATCACACTACATCCGTCTCTAGATTACACCAAGGACCATGAGACAAACAGAAAGAGCACCAGACCATATATGGCAACAAAACATCACGGAAGGGCGAAAGGCCGACCTGTTGAACGTTCTTTGCATAAGTTCGTAAAAGATGTTTGAGAAGATTCCTAATAGAGAGGAGAAAGATTGTACAGCTCTAGTTTTCACAGTTTGTACGGTCTTTCTGCTTGTCAACAACGTAATGTTCACCCACTCTCGAAAATGGACTAAAAGAATAGGTAGCAGTTTTTGTTAAGGAATAAAGACAGAAGAAAATAATTCTTTCTTTGTAAAAACTCACGCAAATTATTGAGAAGCTGTCGAATATTAATTGGAATCTTTGCAAGTGCAGAAATGTTCATCGAGTAGTTACAGTGGCCGCTGGCAACGCCATCTAGCGGCTAAACACACCAATCGATTTGTAGACCTGCCGACAGATCGATTGTTCTAATGGAGCAAGATTTGTTTTGATGTAGTTGTTATTAATACGCTGTGGATCGATACACATTATCTCGCTCCGTCGGACATATCCGATGATACACAATATAGGTTTGCTAATTTCTGCTGAGTGCACTTTTCACACACATACACACGTTTAGATGCTTTTCAGGCAATTGCAAATCGCAATCCATCGCAAACCCCCAAACTTGAAAGCTCAGTGCCAGAAGACAATTCACTTGGCTATATTATTAACACAAGAGACGTTCAATGTTTTGTTCTAATTTTTTTCATCATCATATATATATATATATATATATATATATATATATATATATATATATGTGTGTGTGTGTGTATATATATATAAATATATATATATATATATATATATATATATATATATATATATATATATATGTATATATATATATATGTATGTATATATATATATATATATATATATATATATATATATATATATATATATATATATATATATATATATATATATATATATATATATATATATATATATATATATATATATATATATATATATATATATATATATGCATATATATATATATATATATATGCATATATATATATATATGTATATATATATATATGTATATATATATATATATATATATATATTTATATATATATATATATATATATATATATATATATGTATATATATATATATATATATATATATATGTATATATATATATATATATATATATATATATATATATATATATATATATGTATATAGGTAAGTCAGAGAAGATACGATAAACAACAATAAACTACAGAAAAACTCAAAATTGTTCGCTGCATTTAAATATTGCATCAATATTTAAGCTTAATCATTGAAAATTTCAACAATAATTCTTCTGTTTCCAATTAATTTAAAGACAATTTGATGTACGTAGGCCCTTACTTTCCAGACAATCAATTCTTTTAGGTTTATTTTTTATGTGTGATTTTTGCTACATTTTGCAATTAATTTCGATTATTACCAAATTTATTTTCAAGTTATAAAAATTGTTATCGTACAAAAAATTCCGTTGCAGGAAAATCACGTAAAAAACTCACTAGATACAATCGCAGTTTGAAAATGTGGGAATCTAAAATTTCAGGATTGCGGGTTCGAATCCAGCCAGGAATTTTTTCTGTCGGCCTGATTCCAAAACGGTATGATATGTTGATCTACGGCCTCTATGAGTAAAGTTGAAAACACAGACAATTTTATTTTGAAACAGTGTAATTTGAAAACAGTATATTTTTTTTTTTCATTCGAAATCAGCTATTGCAAATTAGAGAGTTAGAGTTGTGTCCCTTTAAGGGTGACACAGTGACACATTACAATCGCATATATATATATATATATATATGGAGAAATATAGTTTTAAGGGGTGGTATATTTATGGGATAAAATGCTCAATATCAGAGACAGGGAGAGAGTATGTGAATATAAATATAAAAGTGAACATTGACGTTAAAACTCAGAGGGGACAGGCTGTTTCATGGTGGACGAAGTCGTCAGACGGCCTGATGATTGCGTCTAGCATGAAACAGCCTGTCGGCTCTGAGTGTTGACTTCAATGTTGACTTTATTTATATATATATATATATATATATATATATATATGTGTGTGTGTGTGTGTGTGTGTGTGTGTGTGTGTGTGTGTGTGTGTGTGTGTGTGTGTGTGTGTGACCAAAATGGGAAAAACATTCATATGACGCGGAGCGCTTCACAAGATTATTTTAGAATTTTATCGGCATTAAAATGATATTTCCGTTGTGTGATTGCACATGCGCACTAAAAAGGTTGTGGGGCAGAAATTTTCATTTTTTTTTTCTTATTAAATACGTGTTAATTGGGTATGCGGCTGATTGCATTTAATTTCTTTTTTTTATGTTTTTATCACTTTTGTTATTAAATATCCCACGTTTTGATAATGGAAGAACTGGCCAGAAAGGTGAGACATTGCGAGAACAAGGACGTAAATTTACCGTGGATGATCTAACGATTAAATAAAGACACACACACCCACACATTGATGGGTAATGTAAGTTTTTGTAATTTAACAGAGAGTGTAAAAGGGCTAGTTAAAGAGACATGGTAGAGTATAGGGAGGGATTAATTTCATATCTCTCTCAAGTATACTTTATATTGGGGAGGAGGAGTGATCAGACCATGACCTATTTAGACGGTTAACTTAACGGAAGTGATATATAGAAATGGGAGGAGAATTAGGGAGAAAAGAAAAAGGAAAAAGAAAGAAGAGGGAGAGGGAAGTAAAGAGAAAGAGGCTGTAATTGGGTTTTAGCAATTTATGTAAAGAATAGATTTTAATGCTTGATAGAAATTTAGATGTCTAAAAAAATTTGATGTTTGCTATCAATTTAAATATTTAATTTTTTTAAACAAATATTTTAGGGATTTAATATAAGTTAAATACTATATTTATTAACACATTTATGTTTTATATATATATATATATATGTGTGTGTGTGTGTGTGTGTGTGTGGCTTTAGTCATTGTTTGTGTAGAGAACAACAACGCCTTTCATAAGACCTTCCATGAATACAATGGTGGTCCCTATTCTCTGCTGTGCTGCAAATCGTCATTTTTTCTCTCATTGTTTGTTTCTTCTTTTCCCTGATACGTTTACTGTCCAGCGGGCACCATTCAAATAACCTTTTACACAATCTTTTCTATTTTTCTTCTTTCTGACCCGCCCACGTCCTTTTTTCCTGCTTAATCGCCCTTTTCATATAACCTTATTTTCTTCTGTTCTCTGATCCATACTGACCTTTTGAAATCCCTTTGATTTCCGCTGGCATTAAGCTTTGCATTTCTGCATTTTTAGCAATATATACATATAGAGAGAGAGGAGGCATGGTGGAGTAATGGATAGCGGCTTGGATTGAGGAATCGCAGAGCCGAGTTCGAATTCCAGTCGAATCCATTACATTCACTTGGGGAAGCTATGAATCCTCTTCTTCTCCTTCCAGCTATGGGTAAAATAGCAGGACCGACTGGGTTCTATAGCCTTGGATGGCAACTGGTCTAGGAGAAGGACTATTTTCTATGCGCGTACTTATTAGAAAGCGCTCAATATCAGCGATAGTGCTAACATATGTTTGTCTAACGATCGCAAAGGCGTGAATCCCTGTGTCACAAACTCGCATCAATCCAACTATATATATATTAAATTAACTGATTTGAAATATGTTTTTCCGCTACACAGTAATAACCATGTTTCAAAAATGGAAGCTAAAAAATTAAAATTTAATTTTGTAATTAAATTAAAAGCAGTAGTTCCATTTTTTTTTTATATATATATATATATATATATATATATATATATATATATATATATATATATATATATATATGTATGTGTGTGTCTGTGTCTGTGTGCATGCAAAATCTATACGAATATTGACGTCAGTGTAGCTTTTTTCTATGTTAATTACCTTAGTCTGACACAAGGTCATCAGAGCATGGTTCCAATCAAATAAAGGATAACGATTTCAACATATGCACAATGGTCTTAAACTAATCCTTGCGAAAACAGGAAGGAATACTTTTATATCTGTAGGAGATGGTGCTGAAATATTCTCAGCCTGACTAAGTAGAGATTATAAAAATAAGCATCTGATATTTGCTCTTTGGACAGATTTTGAGTATTAAAAAAAATGCTTTTAAATTTTGGAACGAATTATGGGAGAAAATATCTAAGTAACTGGAAATT